ATTTGGAAGTGCTTTTGGATTAGTTTTTTTTTTTAAATATGTCATAAATATTTGGAAGTTCTTTTGGATTAGGTTTTTTTAAAGTGTTACTTCTTTCTCCCTCACTTTATAGTAATGTTATTTGAAATACAGAGTTGGGCTCATTTGTTATGTTTAAGTTCAGTTCCCTCCTCCTGTTTTTGTTCAGTTGTATATTTGAATATTCATAATAAATATGCTTCCAAAAATCAAACTTTTCAGAAAAATATAATCAGAAATGTCACTCCCTTACCATCCTACTTCACTCCTCACATTTGTTATGGGCACCATTTCATTGTTTCCTAATTCATCTTTTCTACATGTCTTACAAGTCAGTCTATATAAAAATTTTAGTTCTCCTTTCTCACACAAAAATCATTATGTTGTAGGTACTGTTGCATTTTGCTTTTAAAAGTTGACAGTATAACCTAAAAATCAGTATCAGTTTGTAGAGCTCTCTTCACTCATTCTTCATAGCTCCCTTGGGCAAACTGTACCACATTTATTCAGCTAATTTCCTGGATTTGTTTTCAGTCTTTATTTCCATTTGTTTATTCTAGCAATAATACCTCACTGTCTTGATGCTTAGTAGTAAAATATCCTATTTTTCATCCTGTTTAACTATTTTCTGTTTCAGGATTTTCTTGACTTATAATGGCACTTTACATTTCCACGTTTGCGTCTCACTTTTCCTTAAGGGAAAAAAAAATCTAATGAAATTTCATTTGACATTGCTTTCAAGCTATAGGTTGCTTTGCTGAGAATTGATTTCTTTATGAGCTTGAGCCTTTTAGAGCCTGAACATGTTATATCTCTTCATTTATTTAGCCCTCTAATTTCTCCTAGTGAGTTGTAGTTTTCATTGCAGAGGTCTTTCACAGAATTTATCAGATTTTCTTTAAGTATAAATTATTCTTAAAGAGCCTTTGTATTTTGAAAAAAAAATCAAACTTACAAAAATATTGCCACAATAGTACAGTGAATTAATATATATCAGTCATCTGCATTTACTAATTTCTATTAATTTACCACATTTGCTGTATTATTCTTTGTGAATTATTTGTAGAATCATTTAAAAATAAATTGCAGACATCACAAACATTTCCTCTAAATGTTTATCTTCTAAAAATAAGGTAGTTTTTCTTACCTATTCATGATAAGATGATCAAGTTTAGGATATTCCAATAATCTTCTTACACACTGAATCTTACTTTAAGATGTCTGAGAAGCAATTCCCAGTAATATCTGTGTAGTGTTTTCCCCACCCATCATCAGACATTGCATTTAGCTATCATGATTCTTAGTTACCTGTCATTTGGAACATTTATTTTTTCCTGTTCTTCTCACCGCCCCCCCCCACCTTTCTTTTCCTTTCTTTCCCTCTCTCCCATTCTCCCTCTCTTCCTCTTCCTTTGTCCCCTCTATCCCTCTGTCCCTCTTTCCCTTCCTCCTTCCCCTCTCTCATTGCTGTTTTAAGGTGTTGGGAATTGAACATAGTAGCTTGGGCATACTAAGCACACATATACTCCTATCCCCTTTTTTTGAACAATGAACAATTTGAAGTTAAAACAGAATTTTAGAAGACTTCTAGTTATGTTTGTCTGATTCTTTTATTATTTTAGATGCAGAAACAACATATATTTTTGCTTATTGACTTATGTTGCTTATTGACTAGTTGTCACTTGCATTATTGTTGATATACTTTGATAACATGATTAAGTAATGTCTGTCAGGTTTTTTCTCTACCATAATTTTTTTCCCATTGAAGTAAATAATGTTAAGGGAGTATTTTGGGACAGTTACATACCCTGCTCCTCACCAAGGTTTATCTTAAGCATCCATTAATGAAATTTGACAGATTCACTTGTTACCCTGAGAGATTTCAAATATTCTAACTTTGTCATTAATCAGTCAGTTTTCATTCTTCCTTGAGAATAGATTTCATCATTAATTCATTATTACGATAAAACAGTGAATTTTTCAAACTTGAATAAATTCTACCCATAAATTGCTGCTTTTAGTCAACATTAAAATGGGATTGCCCCAGATTTGCATAGTGGCAGCTTCATCAAGCTGACTTCTGTGTTTTTTTGACATTAACCATTTTCTCTTTCTGTTAAAGTATGTTTGCACTTTTTGGCATGAAAAGATGTTCCATGTGCATTTTGGGTTTTTCGTTTTTCTGCCCTTGAGTGAGCCATTTTTCTTCAAAAAACTGGTTGCTTTAGAGGTGAATGAAAAAAATCATGATCTAGACACTGGGTGTATTCATATCTCTGCATGTAGTACTGTCTTTTTGACAATAGATTAAGAAATACACAATTTTATATTCCTAAAAATTTGAGTGTATTCTCATACCAAAAATGCAGCAGGCCTTTTTGTTTTTTTAAGTTTTTTTAAGCTGGGAATTAAACCCAGGGCCTTGTACATATCAACATAGGCTCTAGCAAATAAATGTACCTTCAGCCCCATGCCCATGCCTATATCCAACACAGTCCATTTCTTTGTTTTCCCTCATTTTCTGTTAGTATTTCCCTTATTCTGAATTGAAAATGCTGCCTCATTTTGAATTTTCTAAAAAACTCAATTCAAATAGTGTGTGAGCCCATACTAGAGCTTGCACCCAGGGCCTTACCTTTTGCTTGGGGGTAGGAGTGCTTTGCCAGAGGATTTTGTTTTTTATTTTATTTTTTATTTTTTTGTTGGTCATGGGACTTGAACTCTGGGCCTGGGCATTGTTCCCGAGCTCTTCAGTTCAAGGCAGGTACCCTACCACTTGAGCCACAGTGCCACTTACGGTTTTCTGGTGATTAACTGGAGCATCAAACTGTTTCCTGCCTTATAAGGTCTTTTTGCATGTGACTTCCACTCCCTCACCCATCACTAGGAGGCCACTTAAATCAGGACCTGGTATGGTTTTTTTTTTGTTCAATCATTCCCCTCACCTTCTATTCTTCCAAGGTAGGGGATTACTTCTGTTTCCCTCATTCACAGTAGATCTTTGCCTGGATCTCAGGAACAGTATAAGAAAAAGAATCTTTTTCATTTTTTTCTTTGGAGTAGTGCTGTTTTTCTTCTTTAAGGTTTGTACCCTTGAGGGTTGCTCTTACTGTTTTTTTGTTTTGCCCCAGAGTTTTTGCTCAAGGCTAGCCACAGCTCCAATTCCAGCTTTTTAGTGGTTAGTTGGAGATAAGTGTCTCAAGGAAAATTTCCTGCCTGGGCAGACTTTGAACTGAGATCTTCAGATCTCAGCCTCTTGAGTAGCTAGAATTATAGGCATGAGCCACCAGAACTTGGTGTTATGCCTCTTTTTTTTTCTTCTTTTTTTTAATCTTGGTAGTTTTAGGGATGGGACTGAGATTTTCGCTTTAGCCTCAGGTATTGTAGGTTTTGGATGTTGGAATTTGCTCACCTTGTATACCTTGCACTACCTTCTGTTTACTCACATAAGTTGAGGGGTTATGTTGCAGGGTAACTAGTATGGAACTGAGTAATCTGTTTTAGGATTACTATAGTCTCTTAACAGCATTTGTCTAGTGGGAAGTCCATCTACATGTATCTTGACCAAGTGCCTGCCTCCAGGTGGCGAAGTTGTGTTTTTCAAGGACACCTCACTTTTGTCCTCTGGAATTATGTTTATCAAAGTTTTTCTGTTTGTTACTTTACATTCTCCCTGTAGATTGTCAGGACCACAGAGTAAAGGTCTTGCTTGTTCTTAATCCTTACCCTTCCATAGTAATTTTTGATTCTATTAGACCATTCTTGAATTACCAAAATCATTTGACTACTTACCAATCAATCTTGTATGGATTTACATTTACCTTCCTTCTATTGTTTACCAAAGTTCTAAAGCGTATTTGAAGATTGTATTTATTTTTGTTTTTGGCAGTACTAGTGTTTGAATTTAAAGCCATTTGCGTTATATCCCCAGCCCTTTATTTGCTTTAGTTATTTTTCAGATAGGGTCCTTGTGTTTTTTTATCAGAGATTGGCCACAATCCACGATCCTCCTATCTTTAGCCTCCCATGTAGCTGGGATCACAGGCATTAAATAAATACCATGCCTGGCTTATTGATTGAGATAGGGTCTTGTGAAAGTTTTTCTCAGACCTGCCTCATGCTGCAGTCCTTCCTATATCTAATTCATGAATTTGAGCCCTCGTGCCCAGCCACTGTATTTCTTGAAACTTTGTGCTTTTTTTTCATTAAGAAATGTAAATTTAGTGAAAAAAATGAAATAAGAACTCAAGTAGAATATCTCATCAAAATTCTAAATAGGTTTATTGAATCATATTCTGTGAAATATCAACATATGAAAATTGGAGATTTGTATTCAGGACTGACCATTTATGGTTACAGAGATGGAGCCAGTGTTGACACACTTGTGGTGAGTTTAGGAAAACACTGTGCTTTTCAGTGGGCAGATTATGAAAGGTTTCCTGCTCCAGTCTTGGTGTGTGCTTTCAGCTCTCACTTTTCCAAATGACTCCATCTCTTTGTGCTCCTTATACAATGGTGAAACTGACTCAGGATAGTTTACTTAAAATTTTTTTGAAAACAAAAGACTTATAAAACAGTAACAAGCAGTAATACGTAAGTGGCCACTGTCAACACATTTTAATTTTTTCTATTTATAAAAGTAGGACCTGTTTATGTTACTGTTTCTTGCTTAATTATAACGATCTCTGCTGGAAAGTTTATTACTGAGGAATTTCTGTAAAAATGCACATGTACGTGGAATTCAGAGTTGAACAGGGACATATGTGCCAATGGGAAGTAGTAATTGAAAATATAAAATTAATGAAGTTTGGGTGTTTTGCATCTAACAAATACTGAAATATATTGGTTGAGTGTGAGACATTTTTGCGATAAGTAAAAGTAAATCCTTAAATATTGCAGTTTTCATGTTACTTGAGGAACATATCTGACCTGTGAATAGGATCACTGAAGTGGAAACATGAAGTTCCCATTTCTGTTCTTAGGTATACTGCAACATCCGGATGGCACAGTTTTGAAACAGTTACAGCCACCTCCAAGGGGCCCCAGAGAGCTAGACTTTTATAATATGGTAAGTCAGGTAAGATTTGTATTATATACAGAATGTTCTTCAGTTTTCTGATGACTCAAAGTACGAAATACATTTCTATCAGACCTACTTCACTGAATATAGTAGAAAAAAAAGCACTAATCTTTTACTGTGTTACTTACTTACTGTATGTGGTGTAGTCTGGGGTTTTCTAGTGCATGTCTTCAAGACTTTGATTCAAGAAATTGATTTTAATCAAGGAGTCATGATGCAATTAAAACAGTCAAGACTTAGGTGAAAGTATTTGTAATTCTCAGAAATGCTGTTAGATAAGTGTTTTTCCCACAGAATTTCTTCGTTTTTTTGGGGGGGTTGCTTGCTGTTTTTTTTTCTTTTGTACTAGTAACTGGGGCATTGAACCCCCAGGGTCTGGGTATTGTCCCTTAGCTTTTTTGCTCAGTGCTGTTGCTCTGCTACTTGAGGCATGCCTCCACTTCACAGGTTTTGTGCTGGTTAATTGGAGAGAAGTGTCTCTTGGACTTTTGAACTGTGATGTTCAGCTAATCTCAGTCTTAGTAGCTAGGATTACAGGTGTGAACCACCAGTGCTGGGCTTTTGCTTGCTTTTTGAGACAAGATCTCACTGTGTATCCTAGTTTGGTTTGAAATTCTATATAACCAGACCGGCCTTAAATTCATGGTCATGATCATCCAATACTGGTATTACAGGTGTGGACTATCATGCTAAGTTTAGAGTCTTAAATGTACTGGTCTACTTTGTGACTCTCCTAAGGAGGAGGAAGGAGGTAAACTTAACATCTGATTAACCCAATGGCTAGGAATAGTTTTTAGTTTGTCACCCAAAAGAAAACCTTCTGCCCTTGAAGTCATATGCCACATTACTCCCTCTTCCTTACCCTGTCAATTACTAATCTGCTTCTGTGGACTTTACTTCATAGAAATGAATGCACCCAAAGTGTGACCTTTTGTATCTAGCTTATATTTACTGTAATGTTGTAAAGGTCCTTTATGTTCATCACACATTATTTTTATGTCTGAGTGATATTCCATTGTTCTTATATGCCACTTGTTCACCTTTTATGGATGTTTGGATTCTTTTCCCTTTTGACTTTTATTCATAGGGGTTCAATGAACATTCCTATACAAATATTTGAGTACTTGTTCTTTCTTCTTTGGGTATAGAACAGTGAGATTGTTAGGTCATTTGGTAATTCTATGTTTAATATTTTGAGGACCGGTCAAACTGTTTCCTGAAATGGCAGTACTATTTCACGTTCCCAGTAGCATTCTGTGAGTGTAGTAATTTCTCCACATTATCATCAACACTTCTTATTTTCTTTAAACCCATTTTTAGTTAAGCTGCATTTTGAAATTCTTTCTTACTCTGGGGTAGAAATGAAAGTTTATTGAACTTCTTTTGGCCAGAATTTATTTTCATGCCATGACTACAAACAAGAATTACCTCCAATGTACATAATTGTAAAATAGTTCAAGAGCAGTGAAAGGGTATAATTAGATATCCAAGAAGAATGTGCTCTTAAAATAATAATATATATTTTTTCCAATGGAGACAAAATAATCTTTTTTGTTTACTCCAAAGCTACTTCCAATTGAAACCCCTATCAGCTAAATTATGATTCAGTATGAGTCAGTAATGTGTTTGAGAAATATGTGGGACAGTGATAAAGCATTATAAGAAACTAAGGAATGTTCTATTTCTCTTTGTTTCAGGTTTATGCTGCTGATTGTAGTGATGGTGTTCTTGTAGAGCTACGAAAATATTTGCCCAAGTATTATGGCGTCTGGTCACCTCCTACTGCACCAAATGGTAGTATTTTCTTAAAAGTACACCTTTTAGTTTTATTCATGAGATTGACTTTTTTTGGCGGGGGGGGGGGTCTGGTTGTGGGGCCTGAACTCTGGGCCTGGGCGCTGTCCCTCAGCTTTTCAGCTCAAGGCTAGTGCTCTACCACTTGAGCCATAGCGCCACTTCTGGCTTTTTTCTTTTTGCTTATGTGGTGCTGAGGAATCGAACCCAGGGCCTCATGCATGCAAGGCAAGCACTCTACCACTGAGCCACCTTCCCAGCCCCCATGAGATTGACTTTTAAAGGCTTTATGTAAAAGCAGTATTTTGAAAACACAGAATATATATGCTTTCTAATTTTTCTTTTCAAAACAAAATTTACATGATGTATATAGTCAAGGACTTGATATCACCCTGTTTGGTCTTCAGAGCTAAAACATTTCTGATATTTGGGCTTCATGCTTGCCTAGTATGCATGAAGCCTTGGGTTCGATTCCTCAGTACCACATAAACAGAAAGCGTCAGAAGTGGCACTGTGACTCAAGTGGTAGAGTGCTAGCCTTGAGCAAAAGCAGCTCAGGGACCGTGCCAAGTCCCTGAATTAAAAAAAAAATCTGGGGGGCTGGGAAGGTGGCTCAGTGGTAGAGCACTTACTTTGCATGCTCAAGGCCCTGGGTTCGATTCCTTAGCACCACATAAGCAAAAAGAAAAAAGCCGGAAGTGGCGCTGTGGCTCAAGTGGTAGAGCGCTAGCTTTGAGCTGAAGAGCTGAGGGACAGTGCCCAGGCCCAGAGTTCAGGCCCCATGACCGGACCCAAAAAAAAAAAAAAAATCTGATAGCAAACATTAGGTATACAAGGGGGAGGGATTTTATTGTGATTTTTTTTACACATGCATATAATGTATTCCAGTCAGTTTACCCCATCACTCTCTTTCTCCCTTACTCCCTCTACCCTTCCTAGTACAATTTCAAGTGGTTTAATACATGTAATCTGTTTCAAAAATACTCAGCTAGTTTTAAGGTTCGTCTTTTTGCTAATAACAGAGCAGTGACTTTAAGGCAATAGCTTCTACCTTGACTACTTACAAGTTTTATGAACTTCACCAACTCAGTAACCTTACTTTTTAATAGTTACAGATTTTTCTGTCTGTCCATCTGTCTGTCTGTGTTTTTCTCTCTCTTACTGTTGGGTGACAGTATCTTTACCAGGTACCCAGGTAGGATCAGTTTTTGACCCTCTGGCTTCACCCTCCCCAGTGCTGAGATGACCTGAGTGTACTCCCACATCCTGCTTCAGTAATCTTTTGAGTTCTACCTTCTGCATAGTTTTGTAAACACTAATTTTCTTAGCTAACTATAACTAGAGATGTTGGTACTACTATGATCAAAAGACAAGGTGAGGAAAATGAGAGAAGACAGGAGAAAATTTACACAGGAAGAAAACAAAGGACAGTATGGAATAAAATGCACATGACACAGACAGCTCCACTAGCCAGCAGTTGTCTCAAGGGATTTCCTCTTCCTTTCCTACTTTATTTGCTCTGGAAGAAGTTGGACAAAACTGCACCACATACATATTAAGTTTTGCCAGAGACTTCATGGAAACAATTTAATCCTTTTTATTCTAAGTACAGTATAAGACCATAAACTTTTATACATGTTTATGTCCAGAGATCATAAAAGCAAATGTTTCATTAGATTTTTGTACAGTACTGTGGTTTACATTTCTGTGTTTTACATATTATTAAATTAATGACATTTATTTTCAGGTTCTTGTGTAGTTTATACTTCCTCATTTTTGGTTGGGCATCAGGAGAGTTTTATAAAGCTGATAGAGTTTTTTATAATTTAGATTAACAGAATTTGTTCAACAAATTATCATGTAACAAATAGTGCTTTTGCTTTCAGTTTGTTTTTCAGTTGAAGTCTCTTCAACTTGCTTTAAGGCCGCCTCCACGCATGATCCTCCTATATCCCCCTCTAAAGTAGCTAATAATACAGACATGTGCAACCATAATCATTTTATTTTTCAGTCCATTATCCTAACTTTGGACTAAGCTTACCTTCACCTTGATCCCCCTGTATCTTTCTCACTCATATTTTTTGTAACAAGCTGATTGAGTATAATGTATATACCATAAATGTATCCATTTAAAGCATATGATTCAGTGGTTTTTAGTGTATTTACAGAGTTTTACAATCATTAATTACCATTATTTAACTTTTGTTCATGACCAGTGGGATTTTTTTAATATTAAAATTGGTTGGCAATTATTTTAGGAGATGTAAGGCTAGTTATATATAATAAATCTCATTATACATTTGTATAAGTACATAGATGCTTAGGATACATAGCATCAAAAGCCTTTATTGATCGATAGTTAATTGGGGTAAGAAAAGTATAACATCATGGAGGTCTGATCAAATTGACAGTTTTCAAGTGTGTATGTCCCCTCTGATTAATGAGTAGGCTCCTTGGGTGGCTACTAGTAGTCATATTTCAGCAAGCATGTACTAAAACAGGCTAGCCCAATATATCTGTTCCTCCATCTCCTTTAGCCCCAGATTTGGGGACACATGGTCTACAATTAAAATTCTTTCTATTTTCAGTTTCTGTTATCAGACGCGGTTGACAATTGTTGTTGAAAAGCAAAGTTCTTGTTTTTCTGTCTGGCTTCATGATGGGGCAGTGATTCGCCATTGGGATACCTTTTATTTCCTAAACAAAGTTTAAAAATAAAGATGGTAGCTAATGCTAAGTAGATTTTCTAGATTCTGTGGGCAAAAAGCTTACTGAAATGTGGGACCTAGTATTTCCATAATTTATACAGTCATTAATATTCATTAACTACAGTATCTTAGGTTTTCTTTCTGTTCCTTAAATGTCTTCCTGTCTTCTTTTTCAAAAGAATGGCTTATTATTTCATATTAATATTTAGTTTTCTGTAGGTTTTGTGAGTGTGTTTATGCATGCATGCATGCACATGTGTACCAGTAGTAGGACCTGAACTCAGGGCCTGGGTACTGATCCTTAGCTTTTTCATTCAAGGCTAGTGTCCTACCACTTGCTTAACCTTTTGCTGGTTAAGTAGAGATAACTTACCTGCCGGGGCTGGCTTTAATCCTCAATCCTCGGATCACAGCTTCCCAAGTAGCTAGGATTATAGACAGGATCCATAAGCATCCAGCTCTTTGAATGTTTTTCTTAATTCAGATGTTTTTGTTTCCTTCTTTTGGTGCCAGGGAATTCTTTGCCTCTCTTTCTTAGTGTGTCAAGGTTATACTCTAGCAGTAGAAATTTGCTGTAGGAATTTTTTTATACTTAACATACTAAAGAACAATATATGAATTATATTTAATTCATATTTAATTATATGTAATATAGAACATTTTTTTCATTTGCAGTAACTTTGTAATTTTAACAATCATCAACAAAATGAAAATATAAATATTTTGGACATCGTTACAGTTTTGTTGGTAAACCTATTGAGATATTTTAATTAATTTTCATGAGTTTTAACCTCAAAAACATTTTTAGTAAAACTTTAGAAATTGTGCATATAATAAGAACAGACCTCAGGACCAATGGAATAGAATTGAAAACCCAGAAATGAACCTACAGACCTATAGCCATCTAATCTTCGATAAGGGAGCTAAAA